TTCATCAGGATCTGCCATGCTTAGCATTCTTGGTTTCACACTGGAGCTGAATCTACAGCAGAGAAGGAGTTGACGGAACACTGCAGAACTGGGCTCGGGCAGGAACCACCCAAGGCGAGGTGCGGCCAAGATCCTGCTCCAAGGACCACCTGCTCGGAACAATGCCTTGGACTCTGGACTCATCACAGTCTCTAGCTGATCCTTGCAGCTGGCATTTCTGCCTCCAGATTCAACCTCTCCGGTGGGGGCTTCTGACCGGTCATGGTTAGGTCCAGCATCCTTGCTCCGGCAGAGACTGAGAAGACAGTGAGTCTTCCCCATCCATCTGCCATAGTGGGAGAAAGGGCTGCCTCTTCCTGCTTCTTGAGAGTTCCACAAATGGAGGTTGGGCAGCCCAACTGACAAACACCAGTTTTTCTCCCACTCTGTGAACAATATTCTCTTCCATTACCTTCAGAAGGGCTCTATCTCCTGGTCCCAATCATTCACTCAACAAACATTCATATATACCTACATGTACCGGGCAGTGTGCTGGGTGCTGGGAGACACGAGTGAACAACAGAAATGGAGATTACATTCTAGTTGGCGAGGTGGGGTGGGTGGGGAGACTGATAATAAATAAGTAAGCAAACAAGATCATTACAGATTGTGATAATGCTATAAAAGAAACGGGCAGGGAGCTAGGATAGAAAGTAAGGGAGGTCTACCTGGAAAGAGAGGTTTTGTTGTCTATACTCCAAAACTTAGTGGCTTCAAATACTCATTTATTTAGCTCATGATTTTCCGGTCAGGAATTTGGGAAAGGCCAGGCTGGGACGGTCATCTCTGCTTCGTGTGCTATCAGCTGAGGGGCTGGAGAATCCACTTCCAACATGGTTTCTTCTTTATCCAAAATTTTGCAGTGAAAATTTTCAAATATATAAAAAATGTTGAAAGAATTGTACAGCAAACACCACACCAACCACCTAGATTCTACACTTAACATCCTACCATCTTTGTTTTATCACACATCTATCCATCTCTCCACCTCTCCAAGATGGCTCCTTCACTCCTGGGTCTGGTGTTTGAGCCTTCTTGGGTTCTCCTCCTTCCATATGGCTTGCACTTCTCACAGCTCAGTGGTCTCAGGCTAGTCATACTCCTTTTGGTGGCTGACTTCCAGGCCATTTAAGTGCCATGACTAAAAGTGACACAGTGTCTCCTCCATAGTGTCGACGAAAATAATCCATAACCAATCTGTAAATGAAAATTTGGGTGAGTTTATTCTGAGCTGAAATCTGAGGACCATGGCCTGGGGCCTTTCTTCCCGAAGGAAGAAAGGGGCACCAAAGAAATGAGGTGTACAGAGTGGTTATATACCCCCAAAGAGGGTGCTTTACATATGATTGAAATGTCCCTCCCACAATAGTCACAAGATTGCCCTGTCAGCACAGCGCTTGATGGACACAGCAGGTAGTGGGTCTGCCATCTTGGTGGGCGTAGCAGGAGGCAAGTCTATTGTCTGGAGCTGGGCGGTCACAGGTGAGCACAGCAATCAGTTTCCAGCCTAAGGAAAGATGCTTAATCCTTAAGGAGACGCCAAAGTTGGGAGGGGGAGGGAGGTTGCACCTTTATCTCAAGGGCCTTTGCTCTTGCCATAGGGAATCTCTAAAGCAGATATACAATGCATGCTCAATGGCCTTGGTCAGTCAGGCCCTTTTGGAAAGACAAGGTCAGGCCGAATTAGGTTTATACCACATGGCTTCCTCATATTCTCCAATATATCCTATTGCTTGCCATTTTTATTTGTCAGTAGTATGCTATTGGTCAAAGCAGTCAGGGGGCAGAAGAGCATGTGGGATGGCAATACTGCTGGAGCCATCTTTAGAAAAAACAATCAGCTAGAAAGGGTGATCAGGGAAGCCCTTTCAGAAAAGGTGGTATTTGGGCTGAGGGATGAGAGCAAAGCTGTCTTGTGAAAAGCCAGGAAAGCAGAGCATTCCAGACAAAGAGATCAACCAAGGCAAAGGCTTGGAGGTGGAGGAGTGAGCCTTGCACCTCTACTTTCTTTTTCCTATGTCCAAATGCAGCCCAACATCTAGGACCCACATGGAACCACCTCCATGTGGTGGGACCTCAGTCCCTGCTGGGCCTTCCCCTCTTCCTAGAGCACTCAGGCCTGGAGTGCTCATCTAGCTTGCAGGGGTTGGCTGACTAGTGCAATGGTTATGCATGCAGTCTCTGTGAGGCCTTGGGGAAGTTGCTTAACTTCTCCAGCCCTAGGTGTCTTCACCTGTAAATGGGCATAATAATACCTACCTTATCAGGTTGCAGGAGGGAGAATGCTGATATATGTAAAGTGCTCTCGGCACCTAGTGAATGCTCAATAAATGGCAGCTATAATTAATAATGTGAAACAGGTTCACCTTGTCATGTGTTAATCTAGTTTAGAATTTTTTTTCAGAGCAGAGAGCATGCTTTTTTAAATTTTACTCTTTCACAGTGCAAGCAGTGTGCCCTGCACAGATATTGTGGATAGAACAGGCAGGCCACAGAGCTCTCCACCATGCCGTGGTGCTAATGGAGCCATGCAGGGCACAGAGATGAGCAAGACTCAGCTGGAGCCCTCCACAAGCTTCCAAAGATGGAGAGAGTAGCTATGCCCACAGCTGCCACACTGGGGACCCTTTACATTTAGATGCAAAGAGTAACAGGTTTCAAAGCACCTGCACATCTGTATTAGTTTGCTAGGGCTGCCAGAACAAAGTACCACAAACCTGGGGGCTTAAACAACAGATATTTATTTATTTTCTCACAGTTCTGGAGGTTAGGAATCTGAAATCAAAGCTGAGGGCTAGGAGGATGAATCTATTCCATGGCTCTCCCCAGCTTCTGGTGGTTTGCTGGCAATCTCTGGCATTCTTTGGCTTGTAATCATCACCCCGATATCCGGCTCCATCATCACATGGCATTCACCCTATGTGTGCATCTGTGTCCAAATTCCCCCCTTTAGTAAGGACATGAGTCGTATGGGATTAAGGCCCACCCTAATGACCTCATTTTAACTTGATTACCTCTGTAAAGACCCGATCTCCACTTAGGATCACATTCTGAGGTACTGGGGGTTAGTTCTCCAACATATCTCTTTTGGGGACATAATTTGACACATAAAACTTCTCTGTCTTCTATGACCCTCCTCATCCACACTCCATGGTGAGCCCCTCCAGGGCAAGTACCAAGTCTTGTTCTAATAGCTGTACCCTTCAGGTCTCAACTTCTGCCCCCTTCTTATGCTCCAAGACTTTCCAACAGCCTTTCCTCCTCCCTCCATGCCCTTTCCTCTCTCTCTTTGCCTGGCAGATTCTTATTCATTCTTCATTTGTTAGTTTAAATGTTACCTCCACAAAAAGGCCTTCCCTTATCATCCTTTCTTGATTGTAGCTACCATGTTATTTATTCTCTCATGGTTTCTCCTTCTTTCTTCCCAACACGTCTCATGATTCCTAAGTATACGTTAATCTGTGTGATTGATTAATGGAGGTGGCAGATATTATCCCCTAGTCTGTAACCACAGTGAAGGTAAGGACCCACCTGCCCTCCATGCCTTCCCAGTTGCATAGCTCATGATCTAGAGTAGAAACTCCATAAATGTTTGTTGAATGAATGACTGAATGATTGAATTGTGCATCTTTGGATCCTCCATCCTACCTCACATAGCATGGATTAGTGGGTGTTGACTGAATATATTATTTCTGTGTGTGTCCCCCAAGAGAGAGTGAGCTCCTTGAGGGTAAGATTAGGTCTCATTCTTTTTTGACTCTCTCACATCCAAGCCCTCCTCCTTGATCTCCTATCTATTAGTTATCTATGCTGCATAACAAATTATTCTGAATCTTAGGAGCTTAGAACCGTAACATTTATTATTTCACAATTTCTGTGGGTCAGGAATTCAAGAGTGACTTTGTTGGGTGTTTCTGGCTCAAAGTCTGTCGTGAAACTATATTCAAGATTCTGGCCAGAGCTGCAGTCATCTGAAGGCTGGACTGGGGCCGCAGGATCCACTCCCGAGAGGGCTTACATGCATTTCAAGCTGGAGGTGGTTGTTGTAGGAGGCTTGTTATTAAACACGTGGATCTCTGCCTAGGGCTGCCTGAGTGTCTCACACATGGCTTCCCCATGGTGATCAAGAGGACAAACAGGAAGAGCAATGTCTTTTATGTCTTAATCTTGGAACTTATCCTCCACGATTTTCACAATATCTTATTGGTTAGATGGTCAGGCCTATACAGTGTGGGAAGGGGCTACCCAAAGGCACGGACACCAGGAGCTGAGAACCATCCAGGTCCGTGGCGCAGGCTCACGACCAAACTCTATCTAAACTAGATCTCCTTTCCCCCTCTACTTGCTCCACCCATACTCATGAAACCCTGCTCTTTGCCCTCCAAACACCGATCACATTATATGATTACACGTTCATTTAATTATTTCAGTCTCACTCCCCCCGCCAGACGGTAAGCTCCATGAGGGCAGAGACCCCAGCTGTCCGGTTCAGCACGATACGCCCAAGAGCGACACAGGCTCAGAGCAGGTACTCGCAGAATGTTCTGAACCAATTCGAATAATTTGCCTCTGTCTGAATTATAAGACTGTGCTTGTTTGTCTCCCTCTGCATTGTACGCTCCTGACAAAGAATGAAGGCTTCTAGAAACGTCTATAAGCGTTTGCGGAAATGGTCTGAGCGATACAGGGGCTTGGAGCCTCGAGAACGTCAGGATCTCGCTTCCCCAAGCCTCTCCGTTCAGCTCAATCACACGCCGGGGACAAAAGCCGGACAAAGCCACGAACAGCCACCCTGGCAACGCGGGCGGAGGCCACCTCGCTGGTGGCTCGGGTACGTCACTTCCGGGATCCGGGTTCACGGGGAACCACTTCCGGGGGAGCGGCGCGGCGGCGCGGGAGGTGAGGGCGGCCGCGCGGGCGGCCGGGCTGGGGCTTAGGGCCGGGGCGGAGCCCCGGAGGCGGCGGGAGCGGGGAGGTGGCCGGTCCCCGGCGGTCCCCGGCGGCGCTGCTCGGCGGGTCTGGGCGTGCTCCGCGCGCGGCACGAGTACCTCCCCGGCGCTCGTCAGGAAGTTGCTTGCGGAGGGGACCTGGCGCCCCGGGGAGGCGGAGGCCGCGCCTGCTGCCGCCCGGCGCCTCCCGGCCGCGACCTGGCCCTTCCTCCCGCGGGTGGAGCCTCGGAGGAGCCGGCGCTCCGGAGTCAGGCGGCCGGGGGTCCGGGCCTGAGCGTGCGCCGTGTTGCCCGGTAACCCCGCGCACCCTCTGGTTGCCACGCTGGTTCTCAGTTTCCCAGTCTGTAAAATGGGCGCAGAGGCTTGATCTGAGGCCAGAGTGAGATGGTGATGCAAACTCCTAAGAAGGTGCTCAGTGCGTGTTGGTTGGATCATTCTCCTTAAGTGAAGCGGGAAGTGAATATATGAAATCTCACACTTCTTAAATGGTGGCGACAAATTCGGACATAATAACTATCTTTTGCAGGACATCTGCACACCAGTTTCAGCCCACTGGCTGCCAGTTGTGCTTCTGTTCTGGGAGGTCAGTTAGCCTTCCTTAGGACAAACTCTTAACAGTTTTGAGCAGCTCTTGGGAATTGGGTATCCAGCCCATTGCTGTAAGACAGTGAGTAACTCCTGACGCTGGTTTTCTGTTCCCTAGTCCGTTTCAGTTGAATTCTCAGAACAGAACTTTAAAATTGCATAATTAGAAGCCAAGAATTCCTTACCAGCATACTTGGAATCTGGGTTTTTCAGTCTTAGAGAAGATATACTTTTTTTTTGGTGAGGAAGATTGGCCCTGAGCTAACATCTCTTGCCACTGTCCCACTTTTTGCTTGAAGGAGATTGTCCCTGAGCCAGCATCTGTGTCAGTCTTCCTCCATTTTGTATGTGGGCTGCTGCCACAGCATGGCTTGTTGAGTGGTGTGTGGGTCCACACCTGGGGTCAGAACAGGAACCCCAGGGCTACTGAAGCCCAAGTGTGTGAACTTAACCCCTAGGCAACTGAACCAGCCCCTGAAGATGTACTTTCTATTTGTCAAGTCTGGGGAGCTATACATGTCTCAGGAGTTACTTATTTTGAAATGTTGGCTTTTTTAAAATAAACTTTTTACTTTAGAAAAGTTTTAGATTTAAAAATTGTTGCAAAGATACTACAGTGAGTTCCTATATGCCCCACATCCGATTTCCCCTATTATTAACATTGTACGTTAGTATAGTACTTTTTTCATAATTAATGAACTGATAGTGATAAGTTATTAACTAAAGTCCATGCTTTATTCAGATTCGATCCGTTTTTCCCCCAGTGTCCTTTTTCTGTGCTAGGATCCCCCATTACATTTAGTAGTCGTTTCTCTGTAGCCTCCTCTGGTAGAAAAGGATAGTTTCTCAGACTTTCCTTGTTTTAGATAAACTTGACAGTTTTGAGTATTACTGGTCAGATATTTTGTAAAATGACTCTCGGTTGGGACTTGTCTGATGTTTTTCTTGTGGTTAGACTGGAGTTGTGGGTTTTGGGGAGGAGGACCACAGAGGTAAAGTGCCCTTGTCATCACATCACCCCAGAGGTAGGTACATGCTGTGAATGTGAGCTGCCACTGTTGATGATAGCCTGCATCGCGAGCTTGAGGCAGTCAGGTTTTTGCACTGTAAGGTTACTCCCTTTCCCGCCCTTTTCCAGGCTGTACTCCTGGAAGAAAGTCATTGTGTACAGCCCACACTTGAGGAGCGTGGGGTTATGCTTCATGCTTAAGGGCAGATTATCTACATAAATTACTTGGAGTTCTTCTCCATGGGAAATTTGTCTGTTCATCTCCATTTCTTTATTTACTTATCCATCATTTATATCAGTATGGACTCATGGATATTTATTTTCATACTTTGGGTTATAATCCAGTACTATATTATTTATTTATTTATTTATTTAAAGATTTTCTTTTTCCTTTTTCTCCCCGAAGTGCCCCTGGTACATAGTTGTGTATTTTTAGCTGTGGGTCCTTCTAGTTGTGGCATGTGGGACGCTGCCTCAGCGTGGCCTGATGAGCGGTGCCATGTCCGCACCCAGCATCCGAACCAGCAAGGCCCTGGGACGCCAAAGCAGAGTGTGCGAACTTAACCACTCGGCCATGGGGCCGGGCCCACTGCTTTATTTTTAATTGCTCAAATTGTTCCAGCTTTGCCCATCGGGAGCTCTTTCAGTTGGCTCCTGTATCCCTTGACATACCCCAGTCATTGTGTTGTTATGTTTTTTGAGCAGTTTTTTACTTCCTGCTCCAGGCTCATCTTGTACATTTCCTGCCTCAGTCCTAGAATTAACCATTTCTGCAGGCAGCCCTGGCTCCTTTTCCTGGAGGATGGTGTTAGAGCCCAAGATCTGGGTGTTAGTGTGCGCGTTGCGACTGGGATGCCCTTACTTCCAAACTCTCCATGGACAGAGCAGGAGATATATATGTGTGTGCTAAACTGTATATGTACACAGATCTAGAAGTATTTCTGTCTGTAGCCACTTGTGTCTATATTAAGCTAAACATGAGTTGGTACTGCTGTCTGCAACTCTCATCCATTCCACATGGGTCATTCTAACCTCCTCCACTGGCTTGTCTGTAAGCTCCCACTCCAACTGTGGCAAACCTAGCTCCCACTATCTACCGTCCATTTATTTAATTGTTCATTTCTGGTGTACCCGCATAGTGGTTTCAGAGTTGTTACCCTCTGCCCTGTGGGAAGCAGTTTTATCCACTAGGGTATAGTGCACATGGACAGTTCCTTTTGCCTCTAGTCTTAGACACTCCACTCTTTTCCAAAGTTACGAGGTCAGCACCTGATTTGGCCCTGCTCCTTCAGTGAAGGTGCTTAATATATTTGTGTTACATTTAAATTCAGAATGTCACATTCTGCAATACCCTCACCTCTTAAATGATTTGTTTAAACATTTGCCTACATTGAAGTTTGCTTTTTATGCTGTAAAGTGCTGTGGGTTTTGACAAGTGCTTACTGTCTTGCATTCACCATTGCAGTGTCACACAGAATAATTTCACCTTCAGGGATTATTTTTAACTTCTCTCTTTCAGATCTTACCTCAGCAATCCTGTTGGCCCTCTCTTCAAAATACATCTATAACCTGAGCATTTACATCCCCTTGCTACCACGCTGGTGCAGGCCTGTCTCTCACCGTTACAGCCTCCTGACTGGGCTCCTTCTTTCCACACTTGTCCCCTTGCAGTCTGTTCTCAACACAGCAGCTGGAGGGACCATCTTAAAGTGGTCAGACTATGTCATTTCTTTCCTAAAAACCTACTCAGAGGAGAAGCCAAAATCCTTCCAGTGGCCTCCTAGCCCTACGCAGCTTGCCCACTCTCCCGTTCTCCTCGACCACGAAGCTCATTCCTGCCTCAGGACCTTCCCCCTTGCTGTTCCTCCATCCTAGGGCACTCTGACAGATACTTAAGTGACTTGTTCCTTCACTTTCTTCCTGCCTCTGCTGAAATGTCCCCTTCTCAGAGAGGTCCTAGCCTGACCACCTCATAGAAAATAGCCCCCTCCTCCTTCCTTTTTATGTTTTCTCGTAATACTCACCCCTGACATTACGTTATATGTGTACCCGGCACACAGTAGTTGCTCAATAATTGTGTCCAGTAAATGAATGTCTCAGACCACTGGTGTCTGGCATTCAGGGATGAGCCCCAAGGGGTCCAGTAATCTCCTGAAATTATTTGCAATGTTTGGTAACAAATGGGTATGTGTTTTTTAATTACATTCTTAGAGATATGAGATTTCCCAAGGGTGTAAAAACCTCTGCTCTTGAGCAAGTCTGGAGCACCAGAGGGCTGGAGACCTTGCAGGAAGGTCCCCAGGCCCTGACTCACTGGAGGCCCGCGGGAACCCCACGCCTCTCAGCTCCTCATCCACACCGTGAAATGAGGCAGCTGGTTGAGGCGTTTGCCCTTGCCTTAAAGGTGGGAAACAGAGGCAGAGGCTTCATCATTTACCAAATATTTGAGTCAGACCCTGGAACAAACTCAGGAGGGACTCAGGGCCCCTGCTGTCCAGGAGCTTACAGGTCAGCAAGTAAGAAAACTTTGGACGCCAGTGTAGTATTTCGCAAACAGTAAGAAATACATTCTGAGTTTTGACCCAGAACATACACATTGGGGTGTAGAAGGATATAAATGACAAAAAGCTTCTGGACACAACACCGACCCTTACTAGTGATCTTTTCTGTTGTCATTTATTTAATTGTATAAAGTGCTGGCTGATAAGTAAGAATAATAAAGCTAATAAATTTAAGAAGAAAAGGTGCAGGTTGCAGACTCTTTAGCCGTTCCCATGGCTCACAGCCTGCAGTTGGGACACCACTGAGCTAGTGAGGAAGAGCTCGACTCCTCCCGGCCAGTTTGAATCCTGACTGCCACTTCTCAGCCGAGTAATCCCTGGGTAGGGGGATTACACATAGCCTCTCCCAGCCTCGGTTTCCTCATCCTCCTTAGTAATCCCCGCCTCCCACAGTGGTGGTGCTGTGCGCTTCTGGCAAGTGGTTTGCTCACTGCTACTACTGCGACAGTGGCTGGGGGTTGGGGGGGGAGGGGAACAAAGCCTGTCCTGTGGAGTCTGAGGAGTAAGCGCCTCCTAGTTGAGAGCTGAAGGATGAGTAGGACTCTTGTGACTTCTGTTATCAGGAAAAGGAAACCCAGAAATACTGCAGGCAGGCTGGAAGTAAAACACGGGAGTGCAGAGAAAAGACAGGAGTTCTACGGCATGTGCAGTATTTGTAGAGCATTTTGTTTTCCAGAACTTTTTTATAACCAGCCCCTGTTACACCTGTGCTGCCCAATATGGGAGTCCTCTAGCCACATGTGACTGTTTATATTTAAATTAATTAAAGTTAAATAAAATTAAAAAATTCAGTTCCTCAGTCGCCACATTGAAGGGGTCAATAGCCACATGTGGCTGGTAGCTACCATATTGGAGAGCACAAATATAGAACATTTCCATCACTGCAGAAAGTTCTATTGGACAGTGCTTCATTAGGCTCTATAAAAGTCTCGTGAAGGAAGTAGAAAGGGCATGGAGTTTTCTTTTAAATTGTATTCATTGTTTCAATAATATTCCAAAAAATTAAAACTTAACACCGCTTCGCTTTCACAGCAGCCCTTTCCGTTTTCCTGTGGCCTCTTTTGATCTTTAGTCAGTGAAATCCCACTTTAGGTGTGTCTGCAGTCACAGTCTTTAAATACTTGTTTTCATGGTTCAATTAATATTGTTTGGTGAAGACTTTTGCTGACCTGATACGCGTTTGCCTTTGTCATTTTAGTGAAGGGGGAGCCTGCCAGGGTGCACTGTCGTTGGTTGCCTGCTTCTTTACTCTTGGACACTTTAGTTGCTTCCTGTTTTTCAGGATTATGAATAGCACTGCCATGAACTTTTTTGTATCTGAAGCTTTTTTCTTCTTTTGAATTGTTTCCTTCCTGTAAATTCTAGGAAGTAAGTTATTCATTCGAAGGATATAATCACTTTTATGGCTCTTGTTATATATTGCCTAATTGCCATTTTTTTAAAAAGCCTAAATGCATGAAAGCTTTGTACAGATACTGTTGTTTGGCTCTCGAGAACATCAGATCTCCAGGAGGTCAAGAGGTCGGCCCAAAGGGTAGCTCCTTGCTCATAGAGTCAGGGTTTGCGCTCCAATTCCTGACTCCTGGCCCCATCTTCCTGTTGTACTATGAATGTTCATAATAATGTTGCTGTTAGTAACACTAATAAATGTAAGTGTTGATAAGCCCAGTAGGCTTGTTACAGCCTTAGGCATAAAGATTGGGGCCAAGGGCGTTTTTTAAAATGTGCATTTATGAGGTGCAACTGTGAAGAAATGAAAGCTTTCTTACGCCGTGGTGACACGGTGGTGTCCTGTCGCGGCTGTCTGTTTCCTCCCGTGAAGCGGTTCGTGGAGCTGTTGTTGCAGCCGCCTTGGAATTCACTTCAGGGCCAGTTTACGAGCCACCCCAAACAGTCTGCCTGGTGGCTGAGCAGTATACCTTGTGTTTGACCAAAAATGGTATTCCTGAGCTGGAGGCCCCACCTGATTCACCACACTTGAATCCAGATGATGTTGGGCTCTTTCCAGAAGTCAGATCCTTCCTGGGAGGAGGAAGATCTGCCAGCTCTGTGGATTTTTAAAAAATGGGCCTCAGGCTTTGAAGGCCATTCCCAAAGAAGACAGAAGTGACATGACAAGTGGCCACCCTGCTGGCACGGGCACGTGATCTTCCTCCAGGACCAGGCTGAAAGGGAGACGTCTGCGTTTGCATCAGTCCCAGTCTGTTCACCCAGAGGGCCGTTTTTCTTATCCTTCAGTCACTCCTCCTCCATGTTGGAAAAATGTCGCAAAGCCAGAGGCACAGAGCCAAAGTGGAGGAAGGTCTCGGGCCGTCCCTTCAGCCCAGGCTACAGGGGTACAATACGGGTCATGTGTGTAATTTTAAATTTTCCAGTAGTCACATTTTAAAAGGAAAAGGAAAGCGATAAAGTCATGTTTCTTATTTTGGTGAAATATAATACATAACATAAAATTTACCATTTTAATTATTTTTAAGTCTGCAAAGTCAGTGACATTCAGTGTTGTATAACTATCCCCACTATCTGTTTCCAGAACTTTTTCATTACCCCAGATTGAAACTCTGTACCCATTAAACAATAGCTCTCCATTCCCCCTCCCCCAGCCCCTGGTAACCTGTATTCTAGTTTTTTCTTTATGAATTTGCCTATTCTGCGTACCTCATATAAGTGGAATCATACAATATTGCCCTTTTGTATCTGGCTCACTTCACTTAGCATGTTTTCAAGGTTCTTCCATGTTGTAGCATGTGTCAGACTTCGTTCCTTTTAATAGCTGAATAATATTCCTTTGTGTGTATATGCCACATTTTGTTATCCGTTCGTCTCCTGACTCTTGGTTGTTTCCATCTTCTGCTGTTTTGAGTAGCGCAGCTGTGTACGTTGGTGTACGGGTATCTGAGTGCCTGCGTTCAGTTCTTTTGGGTGTGTACCTAGGAGTAGAATTGCTGGATCGTGTGGTAATTCTATGTTTAACTTTTTGAGAAACCACCAAATTGTTTTCCAGTTTGTCTTTTCATTCTTTCGGTAGTGTCCTTTGATGCGCAAACGTTTTTAATTCTGAGAAAGTCCAGTTTACTTTTTCTTTTATCGCCTGTTCTTTTGGCGTCACATCCAAGAAATCTTTGCCGAATCCGATGTCATAAAGATTTTCTTCTATGAGTTTTATAGTTTTGGCTCTTGAGTTTAGATCTTTGATTCGTTTTTTAATTAATTTTTGTATATGCTCTAAGGTAAGGGTCCAGCTTCATTATTTGCTTGTGGATATCCAGTTTTTCCAGCACCATTTGTTGAAAAGACTGTCCTTCCCCATCCAATAATCTTGGCACCATTATTTGAAAATCAATTGACTATATATATGTGAGAGTTTATCTCTGGGCTCTCCAGTCCATTGGTCTCTATCCTTATGCCAGTGTCACACTATTTTGATTACTATAGCTTTGTAGGAAGTTTTGAAATCAGAAAGTGAATCCTCCAACTTTGTTCTTCTTTAAGGTCAGGTGAAATTAATAATATAATTTATTTAACTCACTGTATCATTTCAGCATGTAATCAGTATAAAAACATTAATGAGATATTTTACATTCTTATGTTCATACTGTCTTCTAAATTGAGTGTGTATTTAACTTAACAGCCATGTCAGTGTGGACTAGCTGTATTTCAACTCTCACTAAACACGTGTGGCTTGTGGCCACCATGTTGGCAGCTTAGGTTTAGCAGAAAATTGCATTATGGCACAGATCTCTGAAAACACAAAGGGTTTTGGAGTCAGATAGGCCTGGTTCCAAAGTAAGTTTGCCCCTTTCTCATTGGGGTGGGCAGAAGGAAGCCATTTGTGGGTGTTGTGGTAGAGGGGGAGCAGTTCAGTCATCCTAGAGTGGGAGGGCATGCTGGAGAGGTGACACTTGAGCTCAGCCTTGGAGGTGGAGTGGGAGCTTTGCGAAGCGGTCAAAGTGGGAAAGGGCATTCTTGGCAGAGTACACAGCTTGGGTAGAGGCCAAGAATTTTGAAAGCCTAGTGCTCTTGGAGAACTACAGGCACTTCTTTTATCTCAACCAGGGTATTAGGAGTGGGGGGTTCTGTTGCAAGGAGAGGCTAGAGGTGGGCTGAGGCCGGACCTTCCACCGCTGGCCACCACTGCCCCCGTCGTCCGTGTCCCCAGCATCTCTAATCTGGGTAATTAGCAGTCGCCTCCTGACTGGTCTCCCTGTGTTCACTCTGCTCCCCGCCCCCCAACACACACACTTAAAATGTGACTCAGATAATGTTACTTCTCTGCTCAGAGCCCTTCTGTGGCTTCACATTTTACTCAGTCAAATTGGAAGTGTCTAGGTCCTGCAAGGTCTGCCCCCAGGCCTCTGATCTTCTCTCTTTCCTCTCTCCCTCCTCAGCACTCCTCTTTGGCCATTTTGGACTCATTTCCCAGCCCCAGGGCCTCTGCACTGCCTTTCTCTCTGGCTCGAGTATGCTTCTCTGAGATGTCCCAATGGCTCACTCTCACACTTCATATCTCTGCCACTTTGTTCCTGTCTCTTCTTCAGAGAGGCCCTCCCTCTCACACTATACAAAATAAAATGATGCCCTTCTTAAGTTTTTTCAAAACAGTTAACATTAGCTGTCATAACACATCTGGGTGTGTCCTTTGTTGGTCCCTGTCCTAAGATGTAGGCCCCAAGAAAGCAGGGTTATATCTCTCTTGCTCACTTTTCAGTGCTTGGTGTTCAATAAGTATTGTTGAGTGAATGACTGGATGAACAAATAAACAAAACCTGAAACATAGCAGGCCTTCGGTAAGTGTATGTTGATTTGAGATTTTTGTTGAAGTTTTTGCATTTACTTACTTATTTTCTCTAACTTTCATATTTGGAAAAATTTGAAATGTACGGAAAAGTTGAAAGAATCGTCCAATGACTATCCATATAGCCTCCACTTAGATTCAAGAATTGTTGGCATTTCACCACGATTGCTTTATATGTTCTTGTGTGTATGTGTGTATGTGTGCGTGTGTGTGTGCGCGCGCGCAAGCAGAACCATTTAAAAGTCAGTTGTAGAGACATGACACTTACCCTTTGCATTTAGAAATCGGTTCTGGAGAGTGGTGAGTCAGAGGAGACCTCAGGCAGCAGGCAGCTGGGGCCATGGCCTCCGACCTGGACTTCTCACCTCCCGAGGTGCCTGAGCCCACTTTCTTGGAGAACCTGCTACGGTATGGACTCTTCCTGGGGGCCATCTTCCAGCTCATCTGTGTGCTGGCCATCATCGTACCTCTTCCCAAGTCCCATGAGGCGGTGAGTCCTTCCCTGTGAGCCTCAGCTCCTCAGGCTCGGTTCTAGGTACTAAAAATAGTCACCACAGCCATGAACAGCCATGACGATCCGCAGGGACTATGCTGGGCTTTACTAATAGAGCATGTCCCCAAATTCCCTCCTGGTGGCATTGAGCCACGTGATCAATACTTAGTTTACATATGCATTAAGCATGTTTTTATTTAGTGCCTACTGCTTGTCGGACTCTGCTGAAGGATGTGGTGTCTGCCCCTGCTGAAGGATGTGGTGTCTGCCCTCAGGAGCTTCTCGTCCTTAGGGGAAGGGCAGATAGGAAACTAACCCTCACACATGTTTCTGTGAGGAGTACAGGGCACTCAGAGGTGTGTAACGAGAGGGAGGACTTGGTCTTACTCTGGGGCAGGGGCCAGGCTCTTCCCCCTCTCCCAGGGAGAGGGAACTTCATGTGTAAGGACCCAAAGAATAGGTACAGGCTAGTTCAAGGAACTGAGTGAAGGTGACTGTGGCCAGAGCCGAGAGGACACAATGACAGGTGCAGCCAGAGGGGTGGGCAGGGCCCAGAGGGTTTTAAGGAAGAGAGTGACATGATCAAATTGGCCTTTTTATTGTTTGACTCTTACTCTATTGCTATACACCCTCCCTCCACCACCACCACCCCCTTTTCTCATGACACTGATTTTTTGGAGAAAGCAGGTCATTGTCATGTACGATATCCATTTCCAGGATTTGGCTGATTGCTTCTCTGTGGTGTCATTTAACATATTTCTCTGTTCCCCATATTTCCTATCAACAGGAAGTTTGATCTGGAGGCTTGATTCAATTGCCATCAGGTTGTTTGGGGGAACACCTTGTAGCTGGTGCTGTGTACTTCCTGTTGTGTGTCATCAACAGGTGCGTGGTGTCTGGTTGTCACACATTCAGAGATTCTAGGATTGATTGGTGGGTTCAGGTGGTTAGCTGATCCCTCTCTTATAAAATCCCTATCGATCTTTCACTAAAATGGTTTGAGCCTCCACTGGTGATCATTTCTTAGATTCATTATGTTCTTCAGCATTTATTAGCTGGAATTCTTCACTAAAGACCTTTTCCTTATCACCTGTATGGTTACTTTGAAGAATGATCTTCATACGGAAAAGGCAAGATAAATGCTTGTGGTTCTTTCCCTTTATTTATTAATTTTCAGTGAGTTTGAGCTCTAGCAACCTCCAATCTTGACCAATGAAGCTTTGATTTTCATATCATTTTGGACATATGTTTTTATATATTTGATATGTTTTAATTAATTTTAGCTTTTTTTAATGCTCAAATGGTCTCAATGGGAGCCCCATCAAATTGTGTGAAATATTGTCTACGAGGGAAGCCCACTAGAGTGACTCGTTGCCTAGGATTTTTTTTTTTTTTAATGGAAGATTAGCCGTGAGCTAATTACTGCCAATCCTTCTCTTTTTGCTGAGGAAGGTTGGCCCTGAGCTAACATCCATGCCCATTTTCCTCTACTTTATATGTGGGACGCCTACCACAGCATGACGTGCCAAGCAGTGCCATGTCCACACCCGGGATCCGAACTGGCCAACCCAGGGCTGCCGAGAAGCACAATGTGCGAACTTAACCGCTGCACCACTGGGCTGGCCCTGTCTAGGGCTTTTATTGGGGACAGGTCACATAAGCACTCTGCCTAGCCTAGACCAAAATTCCAGACTTCCAAAAGGAAAGCAGGTTATTCGGCATAAAACATACTGTTTCCACAAACAGTTTTGGCACAGTGAGCCACTCTTATCTGTTCTAGGAATTCTGGGAACCACCCAACCCAATTTTCCAGATGCCAGCTAAGGGCCGAGCTTGCAAGCTGGCTTTTCTAAGGATAGCAGGTTTTTTAATATTTTATTTTTAATATTCTGCACACCTACAATATACTTACTATGGTTTTAGAATAACTTACATTGTTTTTCACTACTAACAATAAGACTCAGAATGAAATTTAATATTTCTTTGTTGTTCTTTTTTGGCCTACAGATATGTCCCAGTAGGGACATATGGTCAGAGGACTGTGTCTAGGAATTCTTTCCTTCATATAGGTATCCTCCCACCATGACAGACAGTTAAGTTAACTTGCTGATTTGTTTTTAATTTTTAGGAATTTTTTTTCCTTTTTGATTTAATTTAAAAATTATGTAAAACATTTATAGACATTTCCCAAAGTCAAAACTATGTAAAAAGATGCAATCACAGAAGTTTCCTTTAATCTCAGTATCTTCCACCCTTTTCCCTTCCTCCCTCCATGGGCAACCATTTTTGTTATTTTGATTTATCCTTCCTTTGTTTCTTTTTGAAAACATGCGCAAATGCATGTGTGTGTGTGATATATGTATTTATTACATTCCTCATTTGATACACAAAAGATAGCATACTAGTAAACACAGTTTCACATCTTTCTTTTTCAGTTAACAGTATACAGTATATTCTGGAGATCCATGTATCTTGGAAATGACTATGTCCCAGACGTCCTGGTTGTGTAGCTGGGAGGTTGATGGGAATTTACTGATGCCACGAAGAACCTTGGCGAAGGAGCAGGCTTGGGGTGGGGGTAGGGAAAGGAGCGTACTAAGTTCAGTTTTCAACAGGTACCTTTAAGATGTCCACGTGGTTCTGTCAAGTAAGCGGTGGGATCTACAGGTCTGTCTCAGGAGGAGGGTCTGGGCTGAGCGTTGATCAATATTTGGGTAATTGAAGGCGTGGGAGAGGATGAGCTCTCCTAAGGAGAGAATATGGAGATGAGAAGAGGGCCTGGGCCGGGGACCAGGCAGGGAGGACCAGCCGGGAGGGCGGGGAAAACTTTGGGGAACATGGACAGGTTCGTGGCCTCTGGATTGTTCTGTCTATCTCCATTTCTTGTTCTGGCATTTTGAGAAGGAGGTCACGATTGGAGTTTTTCCACCCACAGTTGTATCACACTCTAAAAACGTAATCCCTGTGCTCTGGGGCTCTGTCCTCAGACATGGCATGCTGTTGGGTATTATAAATAACAAACATTTGTATTGTCGTTGGCCACTGATGAAGCCTGCTCAGAGTCCCGAGGGAGAGAGGCGATGAATGTTCCTGTGTTGTAGGCAGAGATGTAGAGTCAGAGGTGTGTAACCTTGCCGAGCGCTGCTGCGCGCCTCCTGTTGGGTCTCACCCCTTCAAGGCTGGCCACAGAGGCCTGGTTAGTTGAGCATGCTTTCAGCGGAGGGGTGCCCTGTGCTGATCTCTTTGAGGTTTTTAGTGGCTCAGTGGGTTGAGGTCTTCTGAGGCAGAGAGTTGGCAAAGGGTCCTCAGTCTGCCTTCATTCATCCCTCCTCTCTCACTGTGGCTACCATTTAGATGTTAATTTGGGACAAAAACCTCATCTTTTAAAATATAAATGTAGTACGTAACATCTCATTTTAATTTATCTTGTAGTTTAGGGGAATAAGGCTCACTCAAGTGAATTGTCTTCATAACTGAACCTTACTGTTTTAGCTTTTTATTTTTAGTTTTTCAATGAATCAGTAGCAAAAAATAAATACAGTACCATTAATTTAACTTTTTATTGGTGCCTCACGCCAGCAAACGGCCCCCAATTATGCAGGGATTCAGGGATTCTGCTGCTCGCTTTCCTCTGGGTGGCCCATAAGGCAGCCTTTTCTTACCCCCACACTCCTCAGTAGATGGAAAGGACACACAGTATTCTGTGCATAAACAGTCTTCCAGAGAGGGGTGAGCGTTAGGGCTGTGCTTCGAGGTTGTGCCCAGCAGCTAGATGGGATTTGGAATTGAATGGGGAGGGGAAGAGAAGGGGGTTTAACTTGGGGCTTGGCTCTTAGGGAGGAAGGGAGCTGGTGGGAATGGGGACAGCCTGTGGGGACTGCAGGCAGCCCAAGGGCAGGAGGGAGGTACCTGGAAGTGGCGGCAGGAGGTGGGGGGACCCAGAGAACAATAGCTCTCTTTGCTGTTTTGCTTAGGGCAAAATCATCCCTCTCGCTTGGCCTATAGAAACAAGGTTTATTAGTGGCTTTTTGGGTCAGAAGATAATATTTTTGGCTCCAGATGATGGGAAAGCCTTTGAAAGGCAAAAGAATGTCTTTCCTGTTGTTGGAGTAAGCCGATTTTTTGCAACTAGTTTATGGCTTCAGTACTTCAATACTTAGCAGATTATTTGAAAGCTCTTTTGGGGGCAATCAGGGAAGAAAAAAGGAACACATACAAATGCTTCCCACCCCACCCCCTTCCTTTTCATAGTAGGAGCAAGAACCAATTCGTAAAATCAAAACCAAAGCCCCCGAGAATCCTAAACCAAATGAGACCGTTTTCTCATTGATAGCTCATTAAACTAAGACCTGAGAAAACAAACATTTGTTTGAGCCTGATCAAGGTCTGGGCCACACTTAATCCAAGCGTTTTCTTGTAGGCTGGAGTCTAAAATTTAAGAAGGTAGATCCTTACACCATTTCTGTCTAGTCCAGGATGCAGATACATTTCATCTCTGGCCAAGTCTGATTGATTGTATGGTGGCCATGGTGAACAGGATTCTGGGCTGCTGCTAGGCTCCAGAGTAAAGAAATTGATTAGTGATGTCTGCTATGAGCAAGGAGCTAGGAGGTGGTGGTAGCCCAAATTGCCCATCCTTGGGCTGGTCCAAGTTTCTTCATCTGGCTGCATCCACCTGGAGAATTTTCAAAGGCCTGGGCTGCACCCATGGAGACTCTGATTCAGTTGTTCTCTGAAGCCTTGGATCAGTATTTTCTTCAAGTGCCCGGGTGATTCTGTTATGCAGCCACTGGTCTAGTCCTTAGACCATTTCCCTGAAGCACAAACCAATTTTGGGAGGACAGGAGATACTCAGTTCTACATGTGGTAAGTTTGGAATAATAGCAAGACTTCCAGGTGGAAGAGGGAGAGCCAGTGAGAAGTGGGGCATAGAGACCTGGGAATTATTTTACCCTCATAGCATAGTTTCTTGAAACCCTAAGAATGAGTTGCAGAGC